GGGCGCCGCGGGCGCCGCAGGCGCCGCCAGCCCGAGGCGGTGCCCGTCGCGGCTGCCGGCCAGACCGCTCCAACCTTCGAGTGGGGGATCGACCACAGAGTGGGTACGTACCCCTCAAAAACTGGATGCCTCCCCCATCGACGGTATACGACGAATGCGTGGATTTGTTCGCAAGTCTGCTGAGACTTCGACGCAATTTTCGCCGCAGATTCGACGGGAAAGTCCATGTTGGGGCAAATCGATTATGTAGTCGATACTCTACTCGAAACCTTAGAAAGCAGCTCACGGAAGCTTCTGGTGGTCCCCATGACGCCCAAAGGCGCATCCGATCCCGCGCAAGAGCGGACACGGTGCATCTCCATCGCCTGGGGCTGCAGATTGGACGTGTTTTTCAGCGCTGTTCGGCGCTCCTGGACGCTTTGGGACGCTATTGAGCGTCATGGGGCGCTACTCGCCGACATGTATTCAATCCAGGACGAGCGGAAGCTTCCGTGGTTAACTTTAGGCGGCGAGCCAGGGGGCGAAGTGAGAAGGGGCGTACCTTCTCAGAAGGCTCGGAAGTCCCCCAGACTTCTGAGAAGATTTCTAAGCCTTCCCGGAAGACAGAAACAACTTCTCAGAAGGCGCGAGGGTTCCTGAGAAGTCCCGCCGCCTTCTGAGAAGGCCTTCTCCTTCTCAATTCCCCCCCTCGCTCGCCGCCAATACTTACCTCGCTGACCCAACCCGAAACCCCAAATTTCGGGTTGGGGGGCGTGCGGGAACCATCCGTGTTGATTCCACGTCACGCGAAGCTGGGCTGGCGGTGCGCACAGGGTGGCAGAGGGAGAGGGGAGAGGAGAGGGCTCCTTAGAGGCTGCTTCCGAGAAGCCCTCCCCCCTCCCCCCAACCCCCGCTGCGCGTGGCCGACTGGGAGTGGAGGCCAGCTCGGAGCCCTCCGGCTGGGGTGGGGGCACTCTGGTGGGCAGTGACCTTCGCCGGGGCACGGGCGGCGCGGCCTCACGCCCAGCTCCCAGGGCGAGCGCGCGGGCCACTTGGCGGCGACGGCGGCGGCCTTCTGCTCCCAGTACGCCGCGGACCTGAGGCGCCTGGGGGGGCGGGGGCGCGGGTCGGCGAGGGACGCCGCCTCGAGGAGCGCCAGCTCGTCGCAGTCCTTTGGCAGCGCGGTGGCGCCCCAGCTCTTCTCGTGGGCGTTGGCGTTCTGGCCGTCGTCGACGGAGAAGGCGAGCAGCTCCTCCGTTGGGCATCGCGTGAGGGCCGAGCTGATCCCGTCCGGCTCGAGGCGCGCAACCTTCCCCGTCCCGTGCTCGGCGAGAGCCGCCCCACCTTCCTGAAGCAACGCGCAGAACATGGCGGCGGGGGGCTGTCCAGCCAGGAACCAGCCACGGTACCAGCCTAGAGACCTCCACTTGGCAAAGCAGATAGCTGCGGCTCGCTGGGAGCGTCCTGGGCACCGCTTGGGCCGTCTTCGGCCCTCGGGGCCATCTTGGCGGCCTCCTCGGTCACTGGTGTCCCACGGCCCTCTCTCCCAGCCATCCAAGGGTCCTCTTGGGGCCGTCGCGTGCGCTGCCTGGGGGCAGCTGGATATGGGCTGAGTTGCCAGGGGGCAGCTGGATATGGGCTGAGTTGCGATCTTCCCGCAAGTTGTGGTGGCGAGGCGAGGCGAGGCGCCGACATACGACCACAGGGACGGCCCTGTGAGACCACGGCGGTTGATCCGCAGCCCGGGACGCATTTTGGATCCCTGTGTGACTCATCAGCGTGAAAGTTCGCGGAGAAGGAGGGAGGGCGACGACGACGACGACGAGGAGCAAAAACCAGGACAATTTGGCAGAAGACCTGGGGAGTACGGGGAACCCGCACATTGTGGTGTGATTCCGGGGATGCCAGCACAATCCCGTGGAACCGCCCGCTAGGTCGTTCCACACTTCTGCCTTCCTCTCCGCTCCTCTCTCCCCATTTACGGGTCGTGCGGCAAAATCGCGTCGTACTGGCTCCGCCGGTAGTTTCTGACAATGCGGGGATCGTTTAGCCTTGAACGATCGGTTGTTTCCGAAACGTCAGATCGCTCAACATCGGCCGATTCTGGGTCGCTGGCGGCGCTCAATGTTGAACGCCGGCGGCGGGGTCGCCGCCGGTCGACACGACGCGAACCTACCGCATCTCGTTTGGATACGAGTGGAACGTTTCAGGGACAAGCGCGCTCGCACCCTGTATTGCCTCTGAACACCCTTCCTGGAGCTGACAGGTCGCACAACCCGCGGAGTGCCACGATGCTCTTCAGAACGCGAAGTGTCTGCTCTGCACCCTCTTTGCCGTCCTCTTCCCCTCTCGTTCCGCTGCCGCTCGGCGTGGCGAGGGCAGAATACCGTGAAGCGGAGGCGTGCAACTAAACACGTGTAGGGAGGGGAGCTGGCTGGCCGAGGGCACGCCCCTGGTCCACCTAGCTCTAGCCTTGTGGATGCCATGGCAATGGACACTCTAGCAATCCTAACATTGAGTTGAACATGTGTTTAACATGTGTGAAACATGTTATAACAATGTTTCAAATATGTTTTCACATATTCAAGACACGTTTGAAACATGTTCTAGACAACTGGAAATTATTTGGCAGCATGCGCTCTCTCCATTAATCGACTTCCACAACTATAGCCTCGTAATCCTGCGCACCAGCGTCAATGCCAGAGGATGACAGCGGCGGCGGCGGGAGACGGCGAACAAGAAGAGTCGTATGAACTCGTTCCGCTGCCGCTGCTCCTCCCCCCGTTCCCCCTCCTCCGTGCCAGCGCTCTCGCTGCGAGAGGGGAAGGGCATAGGAAGACTCCCCTTGGAATCGGCAAAGCAGAGCGCCGATGGATCGGCGACAGGCCCCAGATAGCGAATCCGCGCGTTCCTGAGCGGGATGGGCCATCAGGCCCCGATGAATGAGCGACCAGGGGTCGGTACACTCCCCCCCGAGCCGAATCCAGGGGTCGATGCACTCCCCCCACGAGCCCCAGAGCTCTGATCAGGTCCCCCCGTCACCCCTCCTAGGGTAGCGATCTGCGCTGCTCTATCACAGGTCCCCCGTCCCCCGTGGGAGGCAACATGGCCTGCTGCGGAGCAAAGTTCCCCCCGCCCCCCTCAGGGCAGCGCTCCGCCCAGCTGCTGTGCAGATCCCGCCTGTCAGTCGTGCCCTCAAGCGGTGCTCCGCCCCAGTGGTGTGCAGACCCGTCCTGCGGGGGAGCGAGACCCTCGTATGACCCCTGGACGGGGGCCTTCCGTCACGCTGGAGGCCCGGGCCCCTCGGCCCCATCCTGCTGAGCAAGTCCCCCCGACGGCCCCCCAGGATGGCGACCAGCCCGAGTGGGGTGCAGACCCGTCCTGCGGCGCAGCAGGACCCTCCTGTCACGCATGGGTGGCGTTCCACCCCGCTGTGGACCAGGTCAGGTCTCCCCGTCCCCCAGCGTGGTGGTCCGGCCTGTTGAGCAGGTCCCCCACGCAACCTCCTGGGATGACAATATCACCTCTCGGGCGGCGATGCGCCCGGCTGTGGTGCAGGTTCCCTGTCACATGTAGGGTGACGAGCCAGCCTGCCGAGCAGGTCTCCCAGCCCTAGCAGGGGGATCGATCCTGCTGAGGAGCAGAACCCCCGCGAGCCGTCCAACTGAGGAGCAGGCCCCTCCTGTCACTCCTGCGGTGGCGGTCCGCCCTGCTGAGCAGGCCCCCCTGCCACCGCCAGGGAGGCCATCGGACTTCTGTGGGGCAGATCCCCCCCCCAACGGCTGTAACAGGTGAGGTGGCTGGGGTGGTATCGGAGTCCAGGTGGACACTGAAGAGGCATTGTCTAGCTTCGAAGGGCCACTTGATGGCGCTGCCAGAAATAAGTGCTTGCCCCGTCCGTGAAACCTACCCATGACGCCGTGAACAAACCCCCAGCGGCGCTCCGTGGTGGCGGGGTAGCCATGCTCTGAGTCTAGCCCCTCCGTCGCCTTCTCTCCTGCTTTGTGTCCCTTCCTCCCCACTCCGCTTCCCGTCCCGTCTTCTGCTGCCTCGCTCTCCTCGCCCCCCTGCCTTCTTGCCTCTCCTCTCTGACCCGTTCTTGCTCTTACCCCTTTCCTCTTTCCTCCCCCTGCCCCCTAAAACGGTGATAGCGGGAGGAGGAGGAGGAGGAGGAGGAGGAGACGGAGGAGGAGGAGACGGAGGAGGAGGAGGAGGAGGAGGAGGAGGAGGAGGAGGAGGAGGAGGAGGAGGAGGTGGAGTTCGAGGAGGAGGAGGAGGAGGAGGAGGAGGAGGTGGGCGTGGACGCCCCTAACCCCCCACCGTGGCAGACTGTGGTGCCGGACGCACTGCGGCAATGCCGGGGACGCACTGGCACTGGGGAAGGGGGGGGGGAGCGTTGCGCTGTGGGGGGGGGGGCGGAAGCGGGGCCGGGTAAGCCACGGCCGTGCCTCCCCCCGCAGGGTACGTCGACACCTGTCCCCCCCAGTTAATTGGTTGGCACCCTGAGCAAGAGCATTTCGAAGCTCGCTGCTGGCCGTCAGGCCCACAGAGGTGGATGCTCGCACCATGCCCAGCCACCCAGGAACCTTCCACGCCCCAGGGAAGTGCACTGCCTTTCATCCTCGTCCTCCTCCTCCTCGTCCTCCTCCTCCTCTCCTCGTCCTCCTCCTCCTCCTCCTCCTCCCCTCCTCCTCGCCCCCTTCCTCCTCCTGCTCCTCCTCCTCACCCCTCCTCCTCCTCCTCCTCCTCCTCCTCCTCCTCCTCCTCCTCCTCCTCCTCCTCTTCACCCCTCCTCCTCCTCCTCCTCCTCCTCCTCCTCCTCCATTCCTTCTCCTTGTAAATAACTCCTCCCTGTCGCACCTCGAGGCCTGTTTTTAGGGCGGGCCAGGCGTTTCGCCTGAGACTTCCTCACCATTTCTGACCCTGAAGCTTAACAGTTGACAACAGCTTAACAGATAGATGGCGGGTCGTTTTCAAAATATTGCTCTCGCCGTAGCGCCCGGCATATTCTTTTCATACATTTGCAAGAGCTTCACGAATTGAGGGCGGGTCGTTTTCAAAATGTGGCTCTCGCTTTAGCACCGCCCACATTCGTTTAACACTTTGCAGAAGTTTCACGGATTGAGGGCGGGTCGGTTTCAAAATGTGGTTCTCGCCTGAGCGCCGCGCACAGTTTTTGAACATTTGCAAGAGTTTCACGAATTGAGAGCGGGTGGCTTGTTTTAATGTGACTCTCGCCTTAGCGCCGCGCGCGTATTCTTGATACAACATTTGCAAAGGCTTCACGGATTGTGGGCGGTTCCTTTTCAAAATATGGATCTCGCATTAGCGCCGCCCACATTCGTTCTAAACTGTGCAACCGTTTCACGGATTGAGGGTGGTTCCTTTTCAAAATGTGGCTCTCGCCTTAGCGCCGCGCACATCATTGATGCAACATTGCAAGGGGCCTCACGGATTCCCATGATTGGACGTAACAGACATGGCGTTTCGGAAGGATTCGCGATTTTGAGGGCGCAGCAGATGCCATGATTCGCGGAGTTGAGTTCCCAGGAATGGCGTTATGGCACGATTCAGGATCGTCAAGACGCAACAATCAGGTTCATCCGTGGCGTTGGAATGCCGAGAATAATGTTTTGGCATGGTCCAAGGTCTTCAAAGGTTGTCTTCCAACGAGGCAGGTCCCTCTGTGGAAACGAACCGTGGTAGGGGCATATGAAGAGGGAGCTTGGGGGGAGGGTTTACCCCAACATCGTTGGTGACTCTTGGGTTTATACTGGTCCTCCTCCTCCTCCTCCTCCTCCTCCTCCCCGTCCTCCTCCTTCTCCTCCTCCTCCTCATCATCATCATCCTCCTCCTCCACCCTCCCACGCACAGGGGATGCGCCGCCGCCGAGCCGAAGGGGAAGCCCAGCTGGGCTGAGCTGGCGCGCAGGGTCACATCGCATGGATATGCACTGGGCGTGGTCGTTTTCATGCACGGCTTGGCGTGTGCCCACGCGGCGAAGGAGAAGGATGGCAGGAGCTGGAAGAGAATATGAAGGAGGAACACGAGCCGATGATGATGATGATGCTGATGATAATGATGATTGTCATGATGAGGATGGATGATGACGCTGATTATGATGATGATGATGATGGTGGTGGTGATGATGGTGATGGTCTTGGTGGTGATGATGATGATGGTGATGATGATGATGATGATGATGATGATGGTGACGATGACGATGACGATGATGCTGATGATGATGACAACGATGGTGATGCTGATAATGATGATGATGGATGATGACGCTGATTATGATGATGATGGTGATGATGATGGTGATGGTCTTGGTGATGATGATGATGATGATGATGATGATGATGATGATGATGATGATGATGATGATGATGATGATGGCGATGCTGATGGTGGTGATGATGGTGGATGGTGGCGATGATGATGCTTATGATGATGATCATGGTGGTGCTGATGATGCTGATGACGATGGTGATGATGCTGATGATGACAGTGGTGGTGGTGGTGATGGAGATGGTGGTGGTGATGATGACGATAAAAACAATCGGGAAGACAACGACAACAACCTCTTCACGTCTACCCCACTTTCGGCAAACACAGCCCCGCGGCAGCGGCGCTGAGCGCCAAGATCCGGTCCGGCTTGTACTTGGCGCACCACTTGCAGTGCCTGCGCTGTCCGTCCTTCTTCGTCTCCTGGCGCCAGCGCAAGCAGTTTGGCATGACAAACACGGGTCCTGGAGAAAAGGAATTCGGGACCGCTGTTCGCCATTGTCGGCTCTCCACCGGAACCAGGACAGTCAACCAGAACAGTTCAGGATGAGGAGCTGGTTCCAGAAAAAGCCCGAGGGTCTACCCGTTTCCCTCTGGACCCCTCCCCTGCATGGGCAGACACTGCAGAACGGGCCGTCACGTCTCCCCGAAACCGCTCTGGAGTCTCTGGGCCCAGGGGGGGGGCAGGCCCACGGTCATGCCCAAAACATGCCGGTCCGAGCTGCCAGGGGTTCATCTTCCGATCAGCAAGTCGGTCGGCGGACCCTCGGACGAGATAGGCTGCGCTCTGGGAATCGGAGGCCCACGTGGCCGTCCCACCGTCGCCGCGGCCTGGAAGCCAACAGACTGGATGGTGCGTGCAGGAAAAATGTGCAGCGCGCGGGTTTGGGGGCGTAAGCAATGCTGTTTGGTGCCAGCTCGGAACTGTGAGCTGTGGCCTCACCACCTTGTTACGTGCAACCAAGATGTGTGTATGTCGCCCCCCTTCCGCAACGGATCCCAGCATGAAGCATCTCCATCTCTCCCCACCCACGTTACTTACCACTTCAACCGAATTATGGCCTCGAAAGTGGCATCACACCAAGGAAAGCCCAAACAGTGGCTTCCCTCTATACGGCAGACATCATGCTTGCCCGCCCAGGCTGCAAGCCATGAGATACTCGTTGCTCTCACGCCTTCTCGTCGTTGCCGTTCCCCTTCTTTCCCCTCCTCTGGCTTCTCCTGATCCTTCTGCTCCTCATACTCATCCTGGTGCTTCTCTTCCTCCTCTTCCTCCTCCTCTTAGTCCCTCATCCTCCTCTTCTCCTCGCCCCTGCTCCTGCTCCTCCTCCTCTACTCCTCTTCCTGCTCCTCCGCCTCTTTCCCTTTCTCCTGCCCGTGCGCCCATGCCGATTGCGCAATAAACGATGTGCCGAACCCTGCAGCTGCCGTCAGTATCTTCTAGGGCGCCCATCGCCGGAGGGCTGAAACGTATACAGCTCAATCGGAAGGGATGTGAGGGCGGGGCGGGACGCCAAGTGTTGCGCGATGGGGCACAACATTGATCTTCGTTATACGCGTTCGACTGTCTGCTTGCACTCTCTACTATACGCGTTCGACTGACTGCTTGCACTCTCTGTGTGGCAAACACTACCATACACACACGCACGCACGCACGCACGAGCACGCGCACGCGCACACGCACACGCACACGCACACGGACACGCACACGCACACGCACACGCACACGCACACACCCACGCACGCACGCACGCACGCACGCACGCACGCACGCACGCACACGCGCACACGCGCGCACACGCGCACACGCGCACACGCGCACACGCGCACACGCGCACACGCGCACGCGCACACGCGCACACGCGCACACGCGCACACGCGCACACGCGCACACGCGCACACGCGCGCGCACACGCGCACACGCACACGCACACGCGCACACGCGCACACACGCACACGCGCACACACGCACACGCGCACGCACGCACGCACGCACGCACGCACACACACACGCACGCACGCACGCACGCACGCACACACGCACACACCCGCACACACCCGCACACGCACACACACACGAACACACGCACGCACACACACACAAACACACACACACACACACACACGCACACACACACACACACACCCGCACACACACACACCCGCACACACACACACACACTCACACACACACGCACACACACACACACACGCACGCACGCACGCACACACACACACACACACTCTACCTCTCTCGTATAATATACAACACCTTTAATCCCACCAGCCCTTTGGGTGAGGGTGGTCTAGCGATATCCTTATTTCCTCTTCCGAAGCCGTATTCCCTTCGGGGAGGGTGCCCTCCCCCTCCACTCCCGGAGGTGTTTTTTCAGGGAGCGCGACGATGCAGAGTGTCTTTTGTTCACCCAAGGTGGCTCCCAGAAGGCCGCCGATGCTCCTACATGGCCTCCAATGCAGCTCCATGTAGACGAAACTGGTTCAAACTAGCTTCCGACATACCTCCAAGAGGCTCGACGAGGGCCACAAGACGGTTCCAAGTTCTCTCGGAGCCCTCTAAGGAACCCCGCCCAAAAGGCCCAGATCCTTCAACAACCTGAGGAAAATCAGTGATGCTTGCCTTCTCGCGTTTTTGCTTCCGATTCGCTTTGGAAGCCTCAAGATGGCCCCAATATGGCCCAAGGGAGGCCCAAGAGGGGCTCAAGAGGCCCCCCCAGACGGCGGCCTCAAGAGCGCCTAATAGCGGCCCAAGAGCGCCCCAAGAGGCAATTTTAATGGCCCCGGGTGGGACGGGAAATCGAGGACCCCCCCCTCTTTTGATCGACGCCCTACAAGATCGCCCCAAGAGGCCGTACAGGGCTCCCAAGATGGCCCCACGAGAGCCCCAAGAGGGCCCCAAGAGGGCCCAAGGGGGACCCAAGACGACCCCAAGACGGCCCCAAGAGCGCCCCGTTATCGCCCCACGAGGGCCCCACAAGGCGGTTTGCCTCCTCCCCCCCCCTCCTCCCTTCGCCCCCCCCGCGGGCCCCAGGGATGGCCCGAAGAGGCCCTCCAAGGCCGCAACCTTGCTCCCAGAGATCTCTCTGCTCCTCCTGGTTGCCCGCCTTGTTTCGCTACAGTAGGAGCCCGACCACAAGAACCTTCCACAAGAAGCCCAACCCAGAGACCCCAGGACGTCCATCGATTTTTTTTTTGGTGTGGGGACGCCCCGCCTTCCAGAGAAAAACCATCGAAGCCCAAGAAGCCCAGGGCACCCCGGAGGCAAGCGGGGTGCTTCTCGCCAGGGGCCTCCCCTGCAGGACCACTCCGCGCGGGGGAGGGCACGAGCCCCGGGGAGGCGCCCGCAGCTCGCGCCGTGCGCAGACGGCTCCCGGCTCCGCCGGGGACGCCCGCACGCCCGGCCCGCGTGGGCCCGCGTGAGTGCGAGAGGAGAGGCCCCTGCGCGCGCACGCCTGATCGGTCCTTGCCGGCGCCACTCGCCCAGAATCGGGCCGACGGAGAGGGAGGGGGGGGGGGGGGGCAAGCGGAGGAGAGGGATCGGGCGGCGCAGTTGCCAAGGGTGTCCGCCCAGGCAGGTGGCGCTGAGAAGCGGCAGCGTGCTGAAAACCCGAACGGCCTCGAACGGCCAATGCACAACATCCAGCACAACATTAGAAGGGCGGAAGAAGGAGGCCGGGGGAGGGCGGTCTGAAGTATGCCAAATGACTCAAGAGCCCACTGCAAGGGTACCTCCTACCGCTGGACTCTGGAAGGTCGCTGAGAAATTGGAGCCTGCCCGGCGGGAGAGCCCGACACATGCACGCATGCAAGTACAAGATGACTTGACCTAACTACTCCTGTACACAATATCTACTCTGCCTACTCTTCCTCGGCATCTCCCTCTCTCTCTATCCCTCTCTCTCTCGCTTTCAAAACTCGACTCTTCCATCTCCAATTTGACATCTCTAATATCTCACTACTCTGCTCATTTTGTCTTCATTCTCGACTCGGTCTGCTCTCTATCTCTAACCTCCACTTCTACTCTCTTCTCAACTCTGCTGTGTAATCGCTGACACGTGCTCTCTGCTCTCACTCTCTCTAATGCTGGGCCCGGAGCGGGAACCAGGAACATCCAAGAGCAAAAGAACCCAGCCGCCAACCGAAATCGGCCTAGAGACATACCCAGGTACCAGAGAATTGGGAAACCGGCCACCCACCGAAATCGGCTGGGCACTTTCGCCTGAACCTGGACCCAGGGACCCTGGCACCTACCCAAATTGGTCCGGTACTTTCACATAATCCTTCTACTCTAGACCTCCTTCGCTGCAAACACTGATTAGGAAACTCCGCTATAGGACCCTTTCAGTGCGAACACGAACTACTTGGAGAAAGAAAGCTCTCCAGACGACAAGCAGACACTTGCCATGGAGACTGGAACGTCTTGATGCCGAGGACTCTATAAATATTGTGGGGCGCCCGTTGGCCATGGAATCTCATCAGCCTCTGAAAACGATGCCACCCTTGATAAGGACAACCTGTCCACTGCACTCGTGCCCCCGCCCCGCTCCTGGAAGCAAGGACCTGTGAGGGGAAGAGAAAAGGGCGCGGCAACAGGCCAACGCAAACTAAACCGCCCAGGGCTGCTCGAGCGCTGGACCAAAATGCCAAAACTTGTTCCACGGATCCTGAACATCCCTGGCGTTATTGAAGGGGCCCACAAACACACAAATAATAACACACAAATAACCAGGTTCCCCATATTTTCCTACATTTTCTGGGTTTTTGTCTTCCCCCCCCCCGCACTATCCATATTTTCCAATATTTTCTTGGGGGTCGACGATTAATTTTGTCTGTGTGTGTTGTTTCCCCTCCTGAGTTATTTCGAAGGACACAGCTCCGCGTGTGCGGTACCGTCTACGTTTCCCTCCGTCACTCTGAAGACATGTCGGCTCATCCAGTTGTTCGTCCGTGTCGTGCATTTTGAGGCTGTTGTCCCCTACTTCTCCTTCTCTTCATTCCCCTCAGCCTGCTCATCGAATGCTCTGAGAGCATATGTACATGCACTCTGTTCGCCGACTGATCTAAACAGCGTATGCATTCGAAGCGTGCACCCGCCCTGTAATATCCATCCAACCGCTGCCAACCGACACAGCGTGCACGCAAAGGAAGGGCAACGCAATCGCAGGCGAACATTGCACAATATAGGCCTCACAAGTATAAGGTAAGACGTTGTTAATGCCGTCATGCTTATTTGCAAATATGCGCACGTGTCCCACAGCCCTTTGGTCCCCCTGCTCCACCTCGTCCTCCTTGCCCTCATCATCTTCGGCATCCCTTTGCATCGTCCTTGTCCTTATCCAGAAGTCAGTCCTCCTCCTCCACACTTTCTCGTCGTCGCCGCCGTAGTAGTCCTACTTCCTTGCCCTCGTCATCTTCGGTATTGCACCCCCCGCATCGTCCTCGTCCTTTTCCAGCCATCAATCCTCCTCCTAGTCTCCACGTCCTGGTCGTCGTCGCCGTAGCAGTCCTCCTCCCCTCCTCCCTTTCCTCCTCCTCCTCCTCCTCCTCCTCCACCTCTTCCTCCTCCTCCTCCTCCTCCTGCTCCCTCCTCCTCCCCCGCGTTCTCCCGGCTTCCCCTCCCATCCCCTTCCGCCTTCTCCTCTTCCTCCCCCATCTCGCTCATCTGCCCTCTCCTCCCCCGTCCTCCCCCTCCTCCCCTCCTGTCACCCGCCCTACCTCGCCCTCCCGCCGCTCGTCCTTCCTAGAGGAGAAGAGCAGCTGCCAGCTGCATAGACATAAACTTTGGAGGTCTGCGCGAATTTCTTGGATCTGCGCTGGACCCCCCCCTGGCGCGCGGAACGCGCCAGGTGCGGCGCCAGTGGAGCCTTTTTGGGGGGAGGGGGGAAAACGCCGATGCAAGAAATCCGCGCGGACCTCACCGAACGTGGATGTTTATGGAGCTTCTGGTGTTTCTTCGACTTTCTCCTCTGGTTAGGCGTTGCCTCATGGGGGGGTCGATCACCGGGGGGGAGGGGAGAAACGTCCACCTTTCGTGCTCCTTTTGGGCCCCAGGTGGCCCCTTCGGGGCCCCTGAGGTGGGCGCACACGAGGTGCACCTGATCGCCCCCCCCCTTGACCAGAAGAAAAAGCAACGTTTACAAACATGGACTTTTGGCGCTTCGCGCGAATTTCTTGGATCCGCTCTGGACCCCCATCCCTGGCACGCGAAACGCGCCGGCGGGGGGGGGGGGCCCAGCGCGGATCCGGGAAACCCGCGCGGAACGCCAAAAGTTTGTGTGTGCATGTTTGCTCTTATTCCTCTTCTTCTTCGGACCACGCGACGGCCGATCCGGATCCCTGGCCCCCCCTCCCCCGGCTGCTCCGTGTACTCGGCCGGGAGCAGGTTGAGGCTCGCGCCGTCCTCCCCGACGTACTCCCAGGACGGGTCCTGCCAGCGCGGCGGCGCGGCGGCGCGCCCCACGCCCCCGGGCGGCGTGGGCGGCGTGGGCGGCGGAGCCCTCTCCCAGAAGCGCGGGCGTCCGATGCTGCCTCGCCGCCCCCTCCGGTCCGTCCACTCAGTGCCCTCGGGCTCCCCTGCCCTGTCCCCTCGCCCTCGCTTCCCTCCCCTTCTGCTCCCCCTCCCCTCCTGCTCCCCTCCCTCTGCTTGCCGCTGTGCATGCTCTCCTCGTCGTTCTCCTCCTCCTGCCTCCCTCCCAACCCTCCCCCGCCACCTCGCCCGCTGCTCCCGCGCCTCCTCCCCTTCCCCGTGCCCTCCCATGCTTCCCCACAGTGGCACAACAGGGGTACTGCCCTCCTCTCTCCCCCGATACTCTGTCGTGCAGGGGCGCCAACCCCTCTCGGATCTAAGTGTGCTCTACACACACGCACACATCCACACACACACACCTATATCTCTCTCTATATATATATACAGTTGTATACTGATATATTAACTATACACATGCCAGCACTAACACGCACATGCAAGCACACACTCACACACACACGCACGCACACGCACGCACGAACGCACGCAACAGTTACACACAAGCACACAACAAACACACACACGCACACGCGCACATACAATCACACACACAGACACACGCGCACACACAAACTACACACAACATAATTCAAATGCTGTGCGTTAATCGTACTTGTTCCATCGAACCGCTTTCGGTACTAAACATGCGCTGATAAACCCTACGCAGGTTCAAACAACGTCGACATGTGAATACCGCTCCGCCCTTCTCTGGGGCGGTCTAGAGAGGACGGGATGAGCAGCCCCCGGATCGACCCCAACTGCAGCGTTAGCCAGATTTCCAAAAGCGTTGCTCCCGTCTTGCAGATGTGGGTTCTCGTCCCAGCGCGGGCCACATCTGGATCCAGTTCGTTCCTGGTCGTTGCTGTTACCCTCCTTTCCAGCCTACGCCTTCCCTTGGTCCTCCTGCTCCTCCTGCTCCTTCTTCTGCTACGCCTTCCTCATCATCCTGCTCTTCCTCCTGCACATCTGCCACATCCTCCTCCCCGTCCAACGTACAAGGCCACCCCTTTCCGACTGCGCATCACGAGATGAAGTCAATTTGGGACCAAGGTAACTGTAGGACAACCCCAGCCAGCGGGGGGTAGAAGGTCAGATCGCGCGAGGGGGCGGCAGGAAGGGGGTAGCGTGTCAGATATTAGGGGAACAACAAGTGACATAAACATAAACACTCGGAGGTCCGCGCGGACTTCTCGGATCGGCGCTGGGGCCCCCCGGCGGCGCCTCCGGCGCCGATCCGAGAAATCCGCGCGGACCTCCGAGTTTTCATGTTTATGCCACCTTTTGTTCCCCTGGGTATGGCGCGAGCGCACCCAGCTCGTCCACCGCTCCTCTCCTCCTCCCCCCTCGCCGCGCACACTTTTTTTGGTCTGCGGGGCGAGAGCGAACCTCTTCCGCTAAAAGCTGGGCGGGCTACGCCCAGCTTTAATGAGGGAGAGAGGGAACAGGAAGGCACCCCTCCCCGCGCACACGCGTGGGCAGACGGGTCCAGATACTTGCCCGCAGGAGAGCACGAGCCGCGGCGCAGATCGAGGGTGCTCGACACCGTGCCCCTCCGCCCTGCTGCGACCGCCCCGCCTCGGCTCGATCCAACCCCCGAAGGCTCCTCGCCATCCCCTCCTCCACCTCCCCCTCCTCCTCCTCCTCCTCCTCCTCCCCCTCCTCCTCCTCCTCCTCCTCCTCCTCCTCCTCCTCCTCCTGCTCCTCCTTCTCCTCTTCCTCCTCCTCCTCCTCCTCCTCCTTCTCCTCTTCCTCCTCCTCCTCCTCCCCCTCCTCCTCCTCCTGCATCTCCTCCTTCACCTCCTCCTTCATCTCCTCCTCCCACCTGTACTCACCGCCGTGCCGGACGCTGGCACCCGTGCTGCCCCGAGCGCCATCGCCCGACGCAGCCCATGCGGTCCGGAGCTCTTGCTCCGCCCGCCTCGGCGGCGGCCCGGGCGGCGCGCCGTGCCCCGCGAGCTGGGGCACGGCGGGCTCGGAGTCCCGACACGGTGCGGTGACAAACCGTGCGGTGACCTCGACATCCCCCATGACCTCACCGCACGGCCCGTCAACGCACGGCTGTGGGGCCTCGGAGACCCCAGTCGCCCAAGGCGTCCTCGGAGAACGACCCCAGGCCCAGAACCGTGCGGTGACCCCTAGTGCCCACCGGCTCACCACACGGAGTGGCTTGGGACGGGAGCGGCCAAGCGGGGGGTGTCCAGGAGGAGGTGGGTGCAAATCACGACCAGCGGCATGTGCGAGGCCCAGCTGGGGGGGCCAGGGACGTGATGAAATAAGAAGAGGCGCCCTGAAATCTGGGGACATCTCATGGTCCACGCGCCATGATATCCCCCCCCCTTGAAGAGAGAGGGGGAGGAGGAGGAGGAGGAGGAGGAGGAGGAAGAGGAAGAGGAAGAGGAGGAGGAGGAGGAGGAGGAGCAGGAGGTGGAGGAGGAGGAGGAGGAGGAGGAGGAGGAGGAGGAGGAGGAGGAGGGGAAGGTGGAGGAGGAGGAGGGGGAGGAGGAGGAGCAGAGGGAGGGTCGAGCACCCCCCTAGCCATCACCCCCCTCTATTGGCCGCCCCCGAGGCAAGGCTCGGGACGCTGGCGCCTGGGGGCCGGGCGTCGTGCCCGGCGTGTCGCGCCGAGGCGTGCTGGCGTGTCGCACCGGCGGCGCGGCGCGAGGGGCAGGGCCAGCATCGGCGGCGCAGGGCAGCCCGCGAGGGACGCCCCCGAGCGATAGGTCGGGGTGGGCGCCTCCCTCTAGGGCAGGGACCGACCGTCCCGGCATTCCTTGACTGCCTACCAGACTTCTGTTGTTCCCATCCTACTTGAGGGCCACATCCCAGAAATAATTTCGAGCACCCGGGAAAGTGTCAAAAGAGTGCCGACAGAGTGTCGAAAGAACGGGGGCTGCGATCTGCGCAACTGTCGCCACTTTCGTGGGCTCCTGGGAGGCCCAGCGGAGGTGGGTCCCACGCGGATCACCTCGAGGCACGAGGGACGCCCCCGAGCGAGGCCAGGATGGGCCTCTCTCTCTCGAGCAGGGGCCGGCCGTCCCGGTATGCCTGGACTACCTACCAGACCACCCCAACCCAACCCGAAGATTTATGTTGCTCCCATCCTACTTCAGGACCACATCCCAGAAATAATTTCGAGCACCCGGGAAAGTGTCAAATGAGTGTCGAAACAGTGTCGAAGCAGTGTCTCCCAGGGCCCGACACGTGGAAACCCTGGAGTTTCGGTACTTTTTTGGGCGCTCGAAATTCTTCCTGCGATCAAAGCTAAAATAGGTTGGAGCATCATAATACCAGACCGCCCCAACCCAACCCGAAGAGCCTATTTTCGGGTTGGGGGGGTACTGATTCCACACGTGTATTTTTTCACTGTTCCCCGCCCCCTCCCCCCCCCCCCCGAAATGGAGGGCGAATTGAGGCCTTCGGGTTGGGTTGGGGTCGTTTGGTGGGCGGTGATTCCTGTGGTCCTACCACGAAAGTTCTCAGAGCCCAAACATGTCCTGAGAACAAGAGCAATGTTCTTAGAGAACGTGAGCCCGACGTGTGGAAACAAGGCAATCTCAACCAGAAACGCTCTGTAAGAACACTTCGTGGAAACCACCAAAGGTTCGTAGAACATTGTTTGGTAGGGTTAAGTCGGGCCTGTCCCCCTACTGGGGGATTTTCGATGGAACATAGAAAATACACAAAAAGATGTCCCAAGAAGGTCAACCAACTACTCAAAAAATAGGTCCAGACAATTTTTGGATTATTGTCTGACTATTTGGGGGGGTATTTCTTATGTTTCGTCGAAAACCCCCCTGTAGGGGGACAGGCCCGACTCAATGGTAGGGCTATAGGCGAGGGCGGACGCTTCGCCGCACGGCCTCGCCGCCACCACCGCCGCGCAGTCTCCGGGGCAGCCGCGACGCCCCTCCCCAAAGATCCGACGTGTTGAAAGGATCCAGGCGGAGGCTTTTCGCAGTTTTCGGCCTCGAGGGGCCCTCGCCGGGCCCCGGGACCGTCGAAAAACGACTCAGGATGCAAAGCCGGTCCTGGGGAATGGGTCGAGACTCCCGGGGACCCCGCATTGCAGAAATCACAACGCCGGATCTCTGGGTTCTGCTGTCCTCCGGCGTGTCGTCCTCTTGCCCCTGGTCCCCCTCCTCCTTCGATCGCCTGTCCTCGCACCGCTGCCTGGGTCACCGGCCACCTCTCGCGGCTGCGGGTCACATGGGGCCCCTCGCGCTCTCGGGGGCGTACGCCTCCCGCTCTTCTCGTCAGGTCCTCTCTCTGGATGTTTCCTCCCTGGCCCCTACGGTCAGGAGCCTCGGCTCCGCGTGTCGCGTCGGCGGCCCTGGCGACACGCGGCGCCGTGCAGGAGCATCGCGTGTCGCGCTGGAGAGTAGTGGGCAAGAGCCGGCGGCGCGAGACGCTGAGCTAGAGTTCCTGGCCGTATGCTCCTCCTCACGGCCCTCCTTGCCCTACTCGGGCCCAGAGTGGAACCCAAGCGCTCCGCGCGGCGACGTGAAGCGAGGCGGCGAGCAAGATGGCAAGGAAAACGAGAGAGAGAGAGAGAGTGGCATCGAAGACCTCGACGCGCTCCCAGAAGTCCTTCCGCGCTTCCTCGTGAGCGTTTTCTTCTTCGGCGTTTTGACATTGGGCGGAGAGGGGGGGGAGAAGGGGGGGGGGGTCTGGCTCCAGACCCCTGCTGAGTGCGACTGCTTGCTGGAGTGCGGCCTCTGGGGGAGACCCCTCCCGCTCGAAACGGGCACCAGAAAAACAGCCAAGACCTACTCCATGGGGGGGGGGCCAGAGATCCGATGTCGTGTTTTTGTCGATACGGGGTCCCTAGAAGTCTCGACCCATTCCCCAGGACCGGCTTTTCATCCCGAGTCGTTTTTCGACAGTCCCGGGGCCCGGCGAGGGCCCCTCGAGGCCGAAAACTACGAAAAACCTCGATACGCCGAAAAACTACGAAAAACCTCCGCCTTGACTTTTTCGATGCGTCGGATCTCTGGGCCCGCGCCGAATCGGCAGAACGAGACACATAAAAAAAACCGACCGCCTCCCCGGCAGAGCGGCCCCCCCCCCCGAGCCGCGCGCGCGCCGCCCGCGCCTTTTTTCGCTCCCCCCCCCCTGGCCTTAGGCCGGGCCTGTCCCCCCCTGCAGGGGGCTCTGGGGCGAAAGCTTACAAAAGACTCCGAAACATTACCCCCGAAGGCTCCGCAAAGCATCAGAGCATCGTCTCCGGACCTATCTCTGGACTGCTGCTTCGGAAGCTTCCCCCTGTGGAGGGGGCAGGCCCGACTTTCACCCTACACGCCCGCCGAGGCCCGAGGCCCCCGGGGGCTGCTGCCGGCGTGCCCACGCAGGCGGCAGGCACGCCCCGCCGCGTAAGGGCGCGCCCCGCGCGCGCGAGGGCGCGCCCCCGTCCGCACCGCAGGGGGCGGGCCTCCGAGAGGCCGGCCTCCCAGGGGCGCGCGGCAGCGCCCGATCGGGGGCAGGCGCCGCGGAGCATCGCTTTCGAGCAGGGGCCAAGCGTCCTGGCAATGGCTATAGGCCTAGCACGGAGTGTTCCCTTAGAGAACCCAGCGGTGTTCGAAGAACAAGAGCGGTGTTCTTAGAACATTGGCCCGAGGTGGTAAACCAAGACAGTCCTGGCCAGGCATGTTCTGAGAACCTTTCGTGGAAACCACCAGAGGTTCTTAGAACATTGCTTGGTAGGGCTAATAGGCGAGCCGGGACGCTTCGCCGCTGCTGGACTCTTTTGTTTTTTTAAAAGCCGCTCAGAAGGGAGAGATGGCCAGCGTGTCTTGCGCAGCCTGGAGGACCACAAAGGCGAGGATCACGGAGAGGTCGATGCCGAAGATCGGCGGCATCCAGCCTCGGAACAGGTTGAGGTAGGGGTCGGTGAGCTGTATCATCGAGTAGAAGGGCTGGCGGTAGGGGTTGATGTTCGGGAACCACATGATGGTGATGCGAAGGACGAGCATCGCCATATAGATCTTGCAGAAGTTCAGCGTGCTGAGCCGCATCATGAGGCCCAGATTGGATGTGGAGAACTTCTCGAGCACGGCGACGCATTTCTGGAACCCGGCGGGGAACGCGCTGATCACGCCACTCGTGGTGGCGCAGCCAAGCAATGGGCGCCGGCCTGCTCCGAGGCCCCCCCCACAGACGACGCGACAGTGCCCCACGCTCGAAGACTTGCCGCCTCCCATCGGCCCTGGCCCGTGGCAGGTCGCCCGTCGACCGTCGACCTTCCCGAGCTGCCGGCCCTTTGGGCCTCTTGAGCCTTGCCCCACAGGGTCCAGAGTTTTCGGCCCGAGCCCCTGGTTCGTTCCGAGTCGCTGGGGCCTGAAAAGCAACCTCTGGACTCCCGCGCGTGCGACAAATATTTCACCTTGCTCCTGCCCGCAGGGCCCAGAGGCCTGGCGGGCCATCAGGCCCCTATCGGCGATCAATGGGCGGTTGGGGGTCGATTGTCTGAAGATTCCCCAAAACAGCGCTTGCAATCGAAAGCGGGGACGATAGCGAAAATACCTGGCAGTGCAACATCGTCACCACGCGTCGTCGCTAACTCGAGGGCGTGTCACCAGCATCGTCATCATCAATCCCATCGCACTTGCCAGCAGTTGGTTTTTCTCCCCCAAACCCAACATCCTTGTCACCCGAAGGGTGGTCGTATAGGTGTGTATACAAACATATGCATCTACAACAAAGACTGCAACACATAGATGGCACAACATTGATTGCACCACATCTATTGCACCACATCGCATCGATTGCGAGAAACACACTGTTAGGGGTCCACGCTGGCTAATATATGTATGTACCTATACACAACAACTCACAGCTGAGCCTGCTTCCACCCTAACGTTCGTCGCTCCTGAGGGGGGGCAGAACAGGAGTGGGGGGACAACAATGTACCAATATCGCAACTCCCCAGACCTCTCCCAGGGTGCATACTGACAGTCCAGCCGTGGCGACGAGGGCTCTCCAGGACGAGCAGCGGCATCAGTATCTCTTCCTCCTCTGGAGTAGGAAGACTCAAAAGGGCCAGGATCGTCGTCTGGCTTTCGGGTCAGAGCTTGGGTCTTTGATGTTGTTTGGGATGATCTGTGCACCGCGGGACGCCTCTCGGCGAGGAGCAGCTGCTGAAACATATCCCGAGGCAGGAACACCTCCAAGTGAAATCCGTCGATCCCTGGAGGGGGCTGCAGCAGGTGCCTCCGCTGTGCCCGCCGCGGCGGCGAGGCAGGGACGCCAGCAGGCTCGCCACCTAGAGGTCTCCTAAATGGGGTCCGAGCAGATGGGGTCGGAGGAACGTGCCGCATCGCCGATGCATCGGCGATGCGCAGGCGATGCCTCGGCGACGTCGGCGGTGCATCGGCGACGCCAACGCGGATAGCATCGGGCTCGACATCGATAGAAGAGCAAAGCACAGCATGAACTTAAACTTTTGCTGGTCCGCCTGGATCTCTTGGATCCGCGCGACCCCCCTCCCTGGCGCGCGGAGCGCGGCGCCGCTGGTGGGGCCCTGCGCGAATCCAAGAAATCCGCGCGGAGCGCCAAAAGTCTACGCTTCTGGCGAGGCTTCTTCTTCGAGCCGAGCCGCACCGACGACGCACCGGCGCCGCGGCGCGGTCTTCCGACCCCGCATGCGCGGACCTCCTTGGGGAGGCCTCCTCCTCCTCCTCCTCCTCCTCCTCCTCCTCCTCCTCCTCCGCTGCACCGCGGCCGCGGCGGCGGCCAACCCGCGATGTCCCGGCGCCGCGCGGGGTCGTGCCGCGGCCGCCGGCTCGGGAGCAGGGCTCCGCGTGCGCGGCGGGGCCCAGGCGCCACCGAGGGCCCTGGCGAGGGCGCGGGGGCTCGGGCGGCGACGACGGCCCCTGGAGCGCCAGACCGAGATCTCCGACGAGCCAGCGAGGTGAACTTTTGGTCGCAGCGTCGAGCCGCAGGGGCTTTCAAACCTCTTCTCGTCGGCCCTCGGCGGCTTTCCAGCCTCGGGGGTGCTCGCCAGCACCCCACGCCTCGTCGAGAGCCGTCTCGCTGGGTGCCCGGGTCGTGCCGGGGGACCCCTGGAGGCTAGATCTGTGCCTCCTCCTCCTCCTCCTCCTCCTCCTCCTCCTCCTCCTCCCCCTCCTCCTCCTCTCCTCCTCCTCCTCCTCCTCCTCCTCCTCCTCCTCCTCCTCCTCCTCCTCCTCCTCCCCCTCCTCCTCCTCTTCCTCCTCTTCCTCCTCCTCTTCGAAACCGCCACGGCGACGGTCTCTGGCGCACCAGGCCCAGATCTCCGACGACGCCCCGACTTCGGCTCCGCCGCACTCCAGGCGATCTCGTGGGCAGGGCAGACCTGCCCGGCCCACCGTGCAATCTCCTGTGATATCGATATCCGCCTTATTTGGCCGTCGCTACTTCAATGCGTACCCTTGCGGATATATATATATATAGAATACACTAATAGAACAACATGTTAACACATTAATGCGTTAATATGTTGATATATTAATATATGTATATATGAAAATAAGTATGCCAATATATTAATATATCCGCTCCACGTCTCTGAAGCGGAAATGATCGCATCGTTTGGGGTGCATTTCCAAGGCAACTGTAGGTCGGAAAATCAGCCAACATACGGCGGATCCGAAGTCAGTCGGGCAGGTGGTATGGGGGGCGCCCTGAATGAGGGGTGAAGAACAAGGCCCTAAAGGGGCATTTTACGGCCTCTTTTGGTTCCCTGCTGGCTCCAACTGGGGTCCTGAAGTGCCCCTTCAGGGCCCTTGTTCACCCTCCCATCTAGGTCACCCCTCCATTACCACCCGGCGGAGTCATGGTGTGATTTTCTAGGTCCGGCAATTTCCTGGATTTCGACCTCCAGGCCCGCTACCAAACCCGGCCCTAGACCATCAAAACGGAGCCAGGACGAAGAAACTACCTCTGAGGAAGGGGTTGGGACCTCTGAGAGAACGCGTTTCACGGGCGGTCGCCTTGGGAACATTCGGCGGCGCATTTCGAACCGGGAGAGGCCCCCGCCCCGCCCACCCTTCGGCGCCGTCGATCAAAACGGGGGGGACTCCCCTCCCCCCCAAGCCCCCTCCCCACCCGAACTCCCCCCCTTCTCCCAGGGGGCGGGGGGGGGGTTGAACCCCCCCCCTCCCTCGGCGCCGGCGCCGGCGGCCGCCAGCAGCGCCGATGGCGGGGACGCAACGACGATGACCAGAGGCAATCCAAGAGGGGGCGGGGGTTCAAAATCCCCCCCCTGCGCCGAGGGGGGGGGGGGGGGGGGGGGCGGTTCAAACCCCCCTTCCCCCCTGACGCCGGCGCCTGCGCCGGCGCTGGCGGCGGCCAGCAGCGCCGGCGCTGGCACCAGCGACGGCGGGGACGCAGCGACAGTGACCACCACTACCACCACCGCCACCAGACCACCACCACGACCTCAAGCCACCACCACCACCACCAGCCCACCACACAACCACCACCACCACCACAGCCACCACCACCACCACCACCACCACAACTCACCATCACCACTATCACCACAAAAACCAACACTACCACCACCATCACAATCTACCACGCCACTACAACCACCACCACCAAATCCACCACCGCTACCTGCAGCACAACCCACAACAAACCACCGCAAACCACTGCACGACCACCACCACCACAAACCGCCACCACCACCACCACCACCACCTCCACAAACCACCGCCACCACCACAACCCACCACCACCACCACCACCACAAACCGCCACCACCACCACCACAACCCACCACCAACACCACAACCACAAACCACCACCACACCACCACCACCACCCCACCACCACCACCACCACCACCACCACCACCACCACCCACCACCACCACCACCACCACCACCACCACCACCACAAACCGCCACTTCACCACCACAACCACCACCACCACCGCCACCACCACCACCACAACCCACCACCACCGCCACCACCACCGTCGTCCTCGTCGACGCTCCCCGCCGCCGCCGCCCGCCGCCGCAAGCGCCGGCGCAGGCCCAGAAAAGGAAATCGTCGTCCCCGCCGCCGCCGCCAACCGCCGCCGACGCAGGGCGCTGGCCCGAGGAGAGGGAGAGAGGAGAAGTAGGGAATGGGGGGGGGTTCGAACCCCCCCCCCTCCGTCACGGGAGGGGGGCAGAATTCGAACCCCCCCCTTCCCTTCCATCCAACCCCCCACCCCCCCTCCAAGCGACCACAGAACGCGCTGTTTCGGACCTGTGGGCTTATGATGTTCCAGCCTATGTTAGCCTTGATCGCCAGAAAGAATTTCGAGCGCCAAGAAAATGCAAGTACCGAAACTTTAGGTTTTCACGTGTCGCGCCCTGGGAGGCGATACTCGTTCGACACTTCGCTAGCGTGTCGGGTAGACACTGTCTGGGTGCTCGACAGTATTTCTGGGATGTGGTCCTTGAGTGCGATGGGAACAACATAACTCAGGGCAGCGCGTTGAACAAATCATGCTAATGTCTGGGGGGGAAGGGAGTCCGATACCGCTGGTCGTCCTGGCGAGCCCCCGTCGCAACGACTGGATTCTTCTTGAGGTTCTGGTCAGAATGTTCTCTGGGAGAGGTCCAAGGAGTAGCAGTACGGGCATCTTTTTGCCACCCCAACCAATGCAGCGCTGAGGACAGATCAGATCAAGTCCGAAAAAAGAGCTGACTGTCCCAAGTGGCCGGGGGTGGCAATTCCACTGTCGGGCCGGAATGCAAGTCCGGGAAGGTCCGCTCCCGCTTGTGTGGCTGATTGCAGGCCAAGCTTACTATCAGCTCCTAAAGCGTCAGGTGCCGGTAGGAGACTAGGCCGAGACGGGCGAGGCAACTGTGAAACTCGAAGGCGGGATGAGGAAGGACGACCGGAGCAGACGAAGAGAGGAACGGGGGTAATGGAGAACCAGGGAATCGGGATCGGGGCGCGGGGGTACTGGGGAGAACGTGGGAGCAGGCAGGAGGGAGAAGGGAAACTGGGAGGAGGGCAACAGGACGTGGAAGGAGTGCAAAAATGCAAAGCGGCAGCAGGAGCAGGCAGGAAGAACCAGGAGTAGCCAGAAGGCTTCAGAAGGCACCTCGTGCCCAGTCCACGGCGCCACGGCCGACGGGCAACTACAACTTCCTACGATTGAGCTCGCGACAGCTGGGGCACCCAGGGGGTCGGAATGCTCGCTTGTTGAAGCTGATTTTGAAGCTCTTGCTTGTCACCCAGGGGTGAGCATGTATCTGCCAGGTGGCGACCGATCGCCGCGGCGGTCAGCCCGCAACGCGCGCACAAACGAGATGTAAGGAGCCGAACTCTATACACCGACGCTTTTTCCGGCCCCGCACTGAAACTCGCACAGGAAAGCGGATCCTGGTGCATACGGGATCCTGGTGTAAACATTTTTGTTGCTTCCTCGGGAAAGCGGGGAAACAAAGATACACCACACCACCCCGACGTCGTCCCCGACCCTACAAAAAAATCCTGGAATGGAAAAACCGCCCACCACTGGTAATGTATATGCTCCAGTTTCCGAGAAGTGACCACACACCACACAGGCCCACATCCGATGGCTCGAGTGCAGTCTGGTGGCGCCCACACGTGCCTCGCGCCGCAGCTCACGCACCGCGACGGGAGCAGGAGCGGGAGGAGAAAGAGAGGAGGAAAGACAGCAAAGAGAGGAAGATAAGGAAGATAAGGAAGAGGAGGAGGGGAGGAGGAGGAGGGGGAGAAGAGGGAGAGGATGAAGGAGGAAGGGGAGAGGGGGGAGGAGCGGGAGATAAGGAAGAGAAGGAGGAGGGGGAGGAGAGGGAGGCGTATGAAGGACAGCTCTCCCCAAGATGTCTGATCCGATCGGTTACCGCAGCCCGCCTTCTCAAAGCGCGACGACCTGTCCTCGGAACGGCCCTGAATCGAGAAACTGGCGCTGACGGCCCCGCAACATGGAAGCCGCAATGCGAGACACGGGTGGCGGCGAGGAGAGATGAGGCTGCCTCCAGAGAGACCACTCTCCTCACGAAAAGAAGAGAACACAGGGGAACGAATAATGACATAATTAAACATGAAAACTCGAAGTCCGCGTGGATTTTCTCGGATCCGCGCTGGACCCCCCTTCCTGGCGCGCGGAGCGCGCCAGGGGCGGCGCCGGAGGCGCCGCCAATGGGGTCCAGCGCCGATCCGAGAAATCCGCGCGGACCTCCGAGTCTTTGTGTTCGTGTCACTGGCAGGAGCGAGGCCGAGGAGGAGGAGGAGGAGGAGGAGGAGGAGGACGAGCAGGAGCAGGAGCAGGAAAGGGAGGAGGAGGAGAAGGGCCAGAGGGCGGGAACGCAGGTCTGCCCTGGCGCCTGGGCGGCCGTGGCGCGGCCTCCGCGGGGTAGGCGAAGGCCGCCCCGGCCAGGGCGCCGGCGGCGGCCGGCGCGACTCCGACCAGGAGCAGCAGCGGGGCTGCGGGGCAGCGCATGGCGCCCGCGGCCAGGGAGCGCGGCAGCCCGGCCGGGCGCCGGGGGGCGCCACGAGGGGCGGCGGGGAGGCGCCGCGGCGGAGCGCGCTGTGGCGGCGGGGCCCTGCGCTGCGGCGCGCGCGGGCCGGCAGCGTGGCACGCCACGCTGGGAACGAGGGCGCTTTTTTTTTTTTTGTTGTTTTTTTTGTTGTATTTTTATCGTTTTGGCTCTGTTTTTAATTTTCTCGAGGACACCGACGCGAGGACCCTGTGCGGGCAACTTGCGCGCCCTGTCCTCGCGTCGGTGCCGACGCCCCCGCGTCGTTCTGCGCCGCCGCACGCTGCAGGGCGCCCAAAGGGTCGCCCAGCAGTGCCGGAACCGTCCCAAGCGAGAAGTGTCGAAGCCCCGTCCAAACCATACCAGATTCCCCTTCCCCCGCCCGTTAAAACTCCAAACCAACGATTCAAAAAACTTCCCCCGCACCTCTGACGAATCTGGAATTAACACTTTATACATCCTGGCCCAGACCCCGCTCAAAACCACTCGGATCCGGTTAGGGAAAAAAGCGTACCTCGGTCCATCCCCGCGCGCTTGATCGGGAATGGACCAGGGTGCCTTTTCGAATTGGCGGCGGGTGGGGCGGGATCGGCTGGGGAGGCCGTGTTCCTACACTGGGTGGACGAAAACCAAAAAAGTACTGATAGAACCACTCCCAAGACCTCTCCTGGGAACCTTCTCAAATAGCCTTGATAACGATGCGATGACGGTGGATGTGACGGTGATACCCCGCGACGATCCCGGGACCCCTGGCTCAGGGCCCCTGCCGCTCCCAGGAACTGGATTCCCCAGGGCGGCGGGTGAGTGTTCAAACTCGGCCGAACGTCTGAGCCCAAATGGCAACAGACGGCGGGCAGTTAAAAAGGAAACGCTTGCGTGTTAGTACGCGGGGACGCATTCTCGATGAAACGCCAAAACGGCGCGACGGCGGTAAGAGGGTGGCAAGGAGGTGACGGCGATGCCCCGTTTACTGGCGGCGGCTCCTTGGACCCAGGCCCAGGAACTCGATGCCCCCCCATGCGATGGGAGTGAAACGCCACGAGGGAGAGGAGACCCAGAGGCGAGGAAGCGGGACCCGGGCCCACATCCCCCCAGACGCTGCGAGCGTCAGAGGCCCATCCCCCTTGCGCGGGCCCCTCTAGGCGCCCCCCCTTTGCCCGAGCCCCGCGGGGGCCGCCCTGGGCCAGCAGCCGGGGCGAGTGGGGAATACGCCTGGGCCGAGGGAGGAGGCCCGCCGCGCCTCACGCCTCTTCTCCCCGTTTCTTGTGGCGCCTCCTCCTCCGCCCATGCCGCGCCGCCCGCGCGCGCGAGGGCAGCGAGGGCGCGGCTTTCGAAACGACGATCCCTGGAGGCGCGCCAAGTCCTCGTCCCCGCGGGCAGGCTCCCGCGCCAGAGGGTCGCGCGGGGCCCCGCCGCTGCTCCCGCCCGAACGGCGACGTCGGAGACGTGCTCGAGCGGAGCCGTCGCCACGGCTCTGGGCGCACACGTCGCCCGCGGCGCCCGCGGCCGGCTTCCGAAGCAAGCGCTCTACCCGCGGCGGCTGCCCTCTCTTCGACGATCGCGTCGGAAAGCTCTGGGGAGGCCTGCGCATCCTCGTCGTGCACGTGCCACCTCGGGTCCGCGGCCGCCACGTGTATCCTGAGGGAGTCGTCAAAGTCAATCGTCTTCATGCCGCCGAGGTCGTCCGCCCCCTGGTTCTCCTAGCGCGGGAGCCAATCCATGCTCAGCGCCGTCTTGCACGACCTCAGTTCCTCGGTGGGCTCGAAGGGCACGGCGGGACTACGAGTATTGGACGTGTGTTTGTATATGTACATGTTGCGCGTGCGTATTGCGCGGGCATTGTTTTGCGCGGGCGCGTGATGTTTGAGGTGTCAGAGAGTCCAGTACACAGTGTATCGCGCTTACCAGAGACAGTGCGAACAGCGTGCCGTGCTTGGGCTGGGGGTCTTGTGATCCAGGGGTGTCTGCGGTGTGGTGCTGTGCGGTGCTGTGACTCCCTGGTCTGAACGTGAGGTGTCTCTGGTGTCGAAGGGCGCGCCCGTAATCCTTACCGGCCTACGCCCCGCTCCCGGGGCCGGGGTGCCGGGTGTGGCCGCCAACCACACCAGCGCGTCCATAGACCGCCGAGTCGGACGGGAGCATCTCGCGCCCTCGGTGCGTGCGTTGTTCTGTACGGCCGGTGAGTGCCCAAACCTCCCGGTTGGGCCGGGGGCAACGTTCCGTGAGCGCCCGAGGGCGCTTGGTGTACAGTGTGCCACGGCAATGAGCTGGCGCTCCGGGGCGGCCAACCCCACGGCGGGGAAGCAATCGGGTTCCCCTCGGCCTGGTTGCCTTTCCACGTCGCCCCACGTGTACCTGTGTTCAGGGTGGCGTGGAGCTGCACCCCCCTGCTCGGGGGCGCGGTTTCAATCTTACTGGTCTCCCACACCACAACGTGTAGGCTCCCTGTCGCGGTTCGGATTCCTTTTTGGAGTCCACCCTTTCACCTCGGGCAGCGCGAGACTGGCTTCCGCCTGATCACCGGAGGTCGGGTGGCTTGGGGTACGCGTTTTGGTCCGGGCTCGGCGTTGATCCTACGGAGTCTCCTGCTGTTGTTGCGACGGTGCACATCACCAAGTTGGGGTCTCCCGATTTTTTCGTGTATCGGGCTGGTTGGTTGGGGAGGGAGGTGGGGGCACGGGGGCGGGAGGGGAAGATCCAAGGTCAAGCGGCGCGGGGGCCACTTGTCAGCTGGGTCGTCGTCGCCGTTCGGGTCACCCTCTTGCGCTGGGAGGTAGCCTTGAACTGCCTCCTTAAGGTGGGCGGACTTGTACCTCTGACGGCGACGGGACTTGCACCCTTTTCCTGGCCGACGGGTGCGCCTGCCGTGCTGCTGCGGGAAGAGCGATGGGGGTCTCGGGCTTTTGCGCGTGTTTCGTACGTGTTTCTGGTCTCTGGGTCTGCGTGTTCACGTGTATCAGGGAGTCCACTACACAGTTGGTATCAGAGCCTGCGTCTTGTGCGCGTGTTGTATGGGTGCGTGTGTACGCATACATATGCTTTTATGTCTTTGATACGCCAAGATTCGAATTCCCGGGTGTGCTTCTATCATCGGCATGTTCTTCCAGGACGGGTGCCACAAGGTTTGAGATCCCGATGATGAGCCATAATTCCCAGTATGGGCTTTTCTGGTCATTCAGGGGGCCCTCTGCACCCCATCCTTCCTCGTCGCCCTCTCTCCCCATGTCACCTCTCCTGCTCTGGGGCTCTTGGAGGGGGTCCGCCGCGGGGGGGCAGGGGACCGGGCTCCCCCTCGCACCTCTCCCGGTGCGGGGTCCCCGCCCCGGCCTTGTCGCGGCGTACTCCACCCCCCGGGGGGTCGGGGGCTGGGGTCCTGGTTCCGCGGGGGAGACGGAGGGCGGCCGATGGCCCACATCCCTCCCGCAGTGGCAGTGGTGGGCTCGAAGAGAAGGACCGTCGACGGCCACTTGGTCGACATAGCCCTGGACACCGCGCAAGCGTTCCCCAAGTTCTCCGTCGATATCATCATCTTGAGGCCTCGAGAACAGTTTCACGCAAGGAATCGTGCTGAGGAGCTCCAGCGCCACGATGGCCCTGCTCGGGTCGCCTGCCTTGGCCCGCGCTCATGGAACCAGGCCCTCTCCACCTCCAGCGCGTGCCAACTTGCTACTCGGGTGCTGCCCTTCGGGTGAACTTCCCAGCCGCTTACCAAGCGCGCCCCATCTTTGCCTTCGCGTTCGAAAGAGCTTTCTCGGTCTCGAAAGAGCTGGGCGCCTCCAGCCTCTGCCCTCCTGCCCGCCGCTTGCCGATCCACGTCGGTACCAGCCTGACCGCCCTGCGCAAGGAAACTTTCTTCTTGCCTGCCCTCAAGACGCTGGCGAGCCAGGCGCACGGACGAGGACCATCGCCGCGGTACTGGTAGTAGTAGTAGTAGTAGTAGTAGTAGTAGTAGTAGTAGTAGTAGTAGTAGTAGTAGTAGTAGTAGTAGTAGTAGTAGTAGTAGTAGTAGTAGTAGTAGTAGGTAGTAGTAGTAGTAGTAGTAGTAGTAGTAGTAGTAGTAGTAGTAGTAGTAGTAGTAGTAGTAGTAGTAGTAGTAGTAGTAGTAGTAGTGTAGTAGTAGTAGTAGTAGTAGCAGTAGTAGTAGTAGTAGGAGTAGGAGTCGGAGTTAGTAATAATAGTAGTAGTAATAATAATAGACGTAGTAGTCGCAGTCGTCGTAGTAGTAGTGGTAGCAGTACTAGTAGTAGTAGTGGTAGTAGTAGTAGTAGTAGTAGTACTAGTAGTAGTAGTAGTAGTAGTAGTAGAAGTAGTAATAACAATACTAATCGTAGTGGCATTGATAGTGGTAGTCATATTAGTAGTAGTAGTAGTAGTCGTAGAACTAGTAGTAGTAGTAGTAGTAGTAGTAGTAGTAGTAGTAGTAGTAGTAGTAGTAGTAGTAGTAGTAGTAGTAGTAGTAGTAGTAGTAGTAGTAGTCGTAGTAGACGTAGTAGTAATAGTAGGACAGAAGTAGTAGTAGTAACCGTAGCCGTAGCAGGAGCAGGAGCACTAGTAGTAGTAGTAGTAGTAGTAGTAGTAGAAGTAGTAATAGTAGTAGCAATAGTAGTGATAATAGAAGTAATAACCATAGTCGCAGTAGTAGTAGTAGTAGTAGTAGTAGTAGTCGTAGTCGTAGTAGTAGTAGTAGTAGTAGTAGTAATAATAGTAGTAGCCGTAGTAGTCGTCGTAGTAGTAGTAGTAGCTGTAGTAGTCGTAGTAGTCGTCGTAGTAGTAGTAGTAGTAGTAGTAGTAGTAGTACTAGTAGTAGTAGTCGTAGTCGTAGTAGTAGTAGTAGTAGTAGTAGTAGGAGCGGTAGTAGTAGTAGTAGTAGTAGTAGTAGTAGTAGTAGTAGTGTAGTAGTAGTACTACTACTAGTGGTTGTAGTAAAAAGTGGTAATCGCAGTCGTAGTCGTAGTCGTAGTAGTAGTAGTATACGAGTAGTAGTAGTAGTAGTAGTAGTAGTAGTAGTAGTAGTAGTAGTGGTAGTAGTAGTCGTAGTGTAGTCGTAGCATTAGTGGTAGTAGTAGAAGCA